TGATTTCAAGATGTCAAGGAAATCCAAGAGAATGTGACAAGGCAGCTGCTCACTATCCAAAAAGTGCCAGGAATTCTTCCATCAATGGAAATGATGCTGAATAAAGTGTGGGGATTCAGAAGGTGACTACTTTGAAGGAGATTAAATGGTGAATTGATATTTGTTATAGTTTCTTTTTATAGCACCAATCCCAAACCTTTTATGATAAAAAAACCTTGTATATTATATTTATGTGTAAAAATGTTCAATATCATGGATAGAGTACACTCTCATGTGTAAACATAAGAGTGTACATTGAGCCCATTTCTGAGTGGTGACAATCTGTTTCATGCTTCAATGCAATCTACAGGTATTGTAGAGTGAACATCAGTGCTCATCAAGATAGTGGAGCAGTTCATCTGTGGTCGGGTGTAGAGTGTGTTTGTCTCACCACACAGCAGATGTTCCATCAGTGACCATGGCTTACACAGCAGTTTTTGGTGAACGAAGACATTCCTCAGTTTCAACAACCACCATAATACCCAGATTTCACCCACTATAAAATCAAATCTCATTTGAAAGGAACAAGATTTCAAGACTTAGAAGAAATCCAAGAGATTGCGACAAGGCAGCTGCTTGCTATACCAAAAAAGGAGTTCTAGGAATGCTTCTATGAAATGAAATGATGCTGAATAAAGTGTGTGGATTTAAAAGTGAACTACTTTGAAGGAGATTAAATGCTGAATTCATGTGTAGTGTAGTTTTTTTTTTTATAGCACCAGTCTTGATACTTTTTTGATCAGTCCTTGTATAAAATGATTCTTATTACTTGGAAAATCATTACTCTCTTTTTTTTTTTTTTGTTAATTTTCTTTTTCTTGATATCTTGTTTAGCTTTAGGAAAGCATCTTTTGCTATTTCAATGCATGGTTGGATTTCAAAGAGCACATTATTCTTTTCCATTGTGCTATTTCTTTTATCTTGCTATGCCAGGTAGGTTGTATTTTGCTATTTTCCAATCTCTGTACATTTCTCATGAAGCCATTCATATTTTGTTTGCATGCACTTATTTCTAATGTTTTTTGTTTGACATCAAATATTCTATGTCATTTCTTGGTATTATATTCTGGCTCTTATTTTACATAGAGTATTTCACCCACCATCCAATTATTTTTCCTTTTTATTTCTTCGGGATGAATTCATTATATATTTATTCTTAAATGTCATTTTTCTAATTCTGTTATAATGATGGTTGATAAATATACTGTCGAATTAACCAGAATACTGAATTCTGATAATTCAAAATCTTATGTAAATTTTAAGAATGATGTCTGGAAGAATTTTTAACTAAATAATATAAAGTCTTTTATATGCAAAGAATGATAAACAGCTGATCATCTGATCAATCATCTGTCCATATTTTCATCATTTGATGAGTAGATTCAAAACTGATGAAAGAAAAATCAGAAAAATGTAAGTATATTTCAATACTATTCTAACCGGTTTGAATTCATAGAGTTTAGAACAATGTTTACATATTTTCATGTGTTTATGTATTTAGATTTTAAATCTATGCACACACACACACACACACACATATATTTCCTACTACACCAAATATATACCAGAAGTAACAGCAAAATTGTCCAAATCATGTTACAGTATAATTATCCATCCCACAAAATGTTTAATATCTAAAAAGCGACTAAACTAATTGTTGTAGAGTAGTTTTCACAGTGGAGGCTTGTATTTCACTAAGTCATCCTAAATTAGGTTTGGCGTACAAAACGTTAGGAACTTGAAAATAATAGTTAATGACACAGCAATCTAGTTGTGATGGTTGATACTTCAATGCCCAACATCGACTGACTCACAACACCACTGAGCTCAACTGGCTACTGCTACTACTACTACTACTACTTATTATGTGTGGGAGAGTCTATTAATAATAGAATAGGTACGTTCAGGTATGACACTAATCGAGCTTCTTTTTCCAGGTTTTCAGATAAGACGTTTAGTCATCTTTACATTATTTCTCATAAGAATCACTGATAAGCCCTTTCAGTTATTCAGCTAGGAATAGAACATGTTAAAATCATTTCGTGTCAACCCCACTGTTTGGTGAGGGGAAAAAGATCATCATGCCTACAGTAATGTTACCACCATTTATACTGTGGCTTCCCTCTTCAAAGTTCATTCAAGTACCATCAAGAGAACAATGAATATGTTTAAAAAAAGAGGGAACAGTAGAGAGGAAAACTGGATCAAGAGGTCAAAAGAGGAAGATGGATCATCATTTCAGCTTGGAGCTAAAGTGATCAATTAGAAAAGATCCAATTCATAAGACGTTTGGCATGTGAGAGAGTAGTTTCAGCTATGACAGTCCAAAGAGTAGTAAATAAAAGATTGAAAATGAGATCATACATTAAACTTGTGAGGCAACTTGTTACTCCAGGACAGAAAATTAGAAAGGGTTAAGATCACCTTGAATAAGTTGGAAAATCATCCTGGAATAATATATATATATTTAAACTATTTCAATACATTATGAGCTACCAATCCTTAGCTATGATTAATTAATGATGAATATGTCATTTTTGTTTATGATCGATTTCATTATGATTGTTCTGTTAAGCTTAGAGATTAATTAGACATTCTTATTGTTCAAAGTAGAATCCAATAGTGTTATAAAAACCTCAGGGAATTCCAGTAAGATATTTTTAATCATTTCTAAAATACAATGATTCAGAGCTTAATCTAACAATATGAAAAATTTGGCTGTTACACCCGTTATATAGGTAATCTAATAGAAGAATGGAAAAGAAATTTCTTAAATAATGTGTTTACCCCTCAGAAAAAAAAAACTTCTAATAAGAGTTTTATCGATGGAGTCAATCTTATATGTGGAAGAAAAAGAAAAAATGCAGGTTATGATTTTACATCAAAATGTGTTACTTTAGAGGTTTTTTTTTTATGTCAAATTGTCTTATTTGATTACCCACTATTAGTCTGATATATAGATTTGTATATATCATATCTATTAGATATGATATACAAATCTATATATACACACAAAAACACACACACACACACACACACACATATATATATATATAGAGATAGATAAGTAGAGTCATTAGAACATTTGTTTTCTACCATGCGACCTGGGATTCGAATCTTGCCCTGGTCGATTTGTCAGGTAGGTAATTTGTTGATGTTATCAGTATGGAGGAGGGGATTCTAGCGTGTGGCAGATTTTGGAAATGGGTTGACCCAAACCTTGAGAATCAATTTGGGTAGACGGAACCTTTGGAAGGCAACAATGCTAACATAAATTCATAAGTCATCGTGACTGAGTTACATGGTGGACTTGTTCAGACTGTTGATCACATGCACTCTCATAGAAACTGTAACTTAGGCCTGCTTAACATAATTGCAATATAAACCACAGGTGGGCTCTGTGGGTGTTGAACAAAATCCACATGTGCCTGAGCTGCAATAGGTATTAGCTACTCATCCTAGTAGATGGGCATCCTTGGACAACAACTGGCTGTGCCATTTTTAGATATATAAGCCTGTACCCAATGATAAAATCATTATGTCTAAAGAAATGTTAATTAGGAGGTTTTTCTGCTCCCCCCCATCTTGTCTTTTCATTACTCATTATAAGTCTATATTTATAAATATGTAAAGGTGTCCCCCCAAAAAATTGAGATCATTTAAAATGTCAAAATCTGAGTAACTACATGTCTCAGGCAAACAAATTTAAATAGGCTTCATGTTGAACAACAAAAGATTTATTTGTCAAGATTTGAACAAGACATACAAAGGGATGTAGATTTTATCACCAATTTCACAAAGTTTCCATATATGCACCACCTGTGGCACGACACACATCAAATCAAGTCGATAGTCCAGCTCTTGCCAAATATGTTGTAGCATGTCTTGCGTAACATTCTCCAGTGCCTCTGTGATTATCTGTTTAAGTTTTTTTAGTCCTGTAGGAAGCGGGATAATATAGACCTGTCTTTTCACATAACCCCATAGAAAACAAAATCACAAGGTATCAATTCTGGTGAACATAGTGGCCATTTCAACAGCACATTGTCATTGTCATGTCTCATCCATCTTCTTAGTAGATTCTCATTGAGGCAATTCAACACAGTCATAGTTAAAATTAGAGATTATTTGTGCAAGAATTGGCTATATTTTAGACTAAAAATGATGTTAATTTTGGGGGGACACCCTGTATATCAGATCTGCCATCTGGATATAAGTTTGGTTGAAGGCAAAAGTTCTTAAAGATGATTTTAATTTAATTTTTCTGTGGTTTAAAACATATTTCTGCTTTCCTGACAGATTTTGAACATGAATTTGTCCCAAATCCTCACAGTGTTATCGTATTTCCCAAGCCATTGCAGACATGCATGGGTGGGTAGTGTCATGAATAGCAACTTGGAATGAAAAATCAGAGTCTGAATTCCACTTGAGTTCATTGCATTCATTTACTTAAATGGGATCTTACTTTAAATTTACACACATAAACACATTCATGTATAAAATAATGTTTATGATAATTAGATAATATTGTCCATTTTAAATAAATGATATTAATTGCTAAAATTACTTTGTTTATACTTTGAGCAAAAAAAATATAAGTCTACAGATATCGTAGATCTCTTAAAAATGATAATTGAGCCATGCCAAGTTATAAGTAGATCTGTACCCAAATGGTAAGCCTCACCTGGCTGAAAGGTGGTTTCACAGATAAAGGGAAAATATAGATTTCAAGGTTCAAACCTGCATAGATAATATTTCTAGGTTGTTGGAAATTTTTTGATATAACAATGATTTAATGATTCTAGTTCTACTTTAGTTCTACTAATTAACCCATAGCGGGGAGAAGAAGGGAATTCATACCTTTGCAAGTAAGTGAATATAATGAACCCAACTAAACTGGAACTCAGATCCCCAATTTCCAGTTCTGAGCCATTATCCATTACATGACCTGCACAGTCAAGCTTACAGCAACTAGTATTTCCAAGCAGTCACCTATCTATGTACTGACCAGGCTTGACATGGTTTAACTTCAGTGATCGTATGAAAACTAGTGTTTCACTGTAACATGGGCATAAGCCCACAGTAATAAGAAATATTGTATTAAAAATCTGTTAACTGCACACACACACACACACACACATATATATATATATATAATGTGTGTGTGAAAGCATATATAAAACGAATTAAAAAAGTAGTTCAATTTTCATAGCACTGCCTAAGAAGCCAGGTGCTAAACAAATGTGAAATCCATTAGACAATCAGCCTAATGTGCTATATAATGAAACTTGCCATCCAAATTTTGATGAATAGAGCATGCAGCAGAATTAGACTGAGAATAGGACAAGAACAGTGCGGGTTCATTAAAAACACTGGAACAAGGAATGCAATATTTATGCTCAGAATATCAGAAAGAGCAATACAAATGCAAAAGGATGTGTACTTGTAAGCGTTTGATAAATTACATTACAATGTACTGTCGGAACTGCTAGGTAACCTTGACATATTTGGGAAGAATATTAGAATACTCCAGAACCTATACAGGTAGCAAACCACCTGCATGGGGGTAGAAAATGAATTCAATATATGAAAATAGAAAGGGGTGTATGACAAGGATGTCTCACTTGAATTATTCAACCTTTACATTGAGGTGATTCTGAGAGAATTAAAAGTCCTACCAGGATTTATTATTAGTGGCCACAGTCATAACAACATAAGATATGCAGATGATACAGTGTTGATAGCAGACACAGAAAGGAAAATGGTTGTTAGAAAAAAGGACAGCCTAAAATGCAAATTACAAAATGGAGATGCCAAAGTCAAACAAAATGCAACAATTTAAATATCTAGGAAGCACTGTAACAGTTGATGGAAAAAAATTCGAAGGTACATTAGGATAGCCAAAGAGGCATTTCAAAAGCTAAGCAAAGTAATAAGAAACAGGAAAATTTTGCTATAAACAAAAAAAAGAATACTGAACTGTTATGTAATATCACTTCTCTAAAATGACAGTGAATGCTGGATAATCTCCTCAAAGATGAAGAAAAAACTTGAAGCAACAGAAATATGGTTCTAAGGAAAGATGCTGAGAATACCATGAACTGAACATGTGAGTAATGACAAAGTTTTAGAAGGGGAAACAAAAAGGGTATATATGCATTAAATCAGAAAGTGACAGTTGAAATATTTATGGCACTTAATGAGGAAAGAGGGCTTGGAAAATTTGATACTCACAGTGCAGATTGAAGGCAAAAGGAACAAAGAAAAACAACACATACAGTCAACACTGAAATTATTCATATACCCATCAATTTTGAATATTTTTATCCATTTCTCAGAATTTAATACCTGTATGATTCTAGGTTATTTATATATTATTTACATTATTCGAACTATTGTCCTCATCTTTGTCGCCATATGTATTAAGTTTCAGTTGTTGTACACTCTGGCCTTCTTCAGGTGGTTGAAATGTCAAACTGAAGCCTTTATTTCGCTCACTGGGGTAGTCTGTTCTAGTTCCACGTGCCATGTTTAATGGATGTCAGTTATCAATTATCTTCTGTTAATTCCACTCTAAAAGTTCTCCACTGCCTTAACTGGGTATTAAACTCACACTCTTTGGGTCCTGTCACTGGATCTAACCAACACCTTTATCCACTGTGCCATGTGACCTTGAGGACACATGGCACAGTGTTGTAATATATATGGCGACAAACATGAGGACAATAGTCCGAATAGTGTAAATAATGTACATAATACCTCATCTCAGAAATATAGACAGGTTATTTATATATTAATAATCTCAAAAAAAAATATAAAACTCAATTTTCAGAACAATAGGATATATGAAACAAATTTAACAGATGAATTATGCATAATACGAAAAGACAAAATTATTCGTACAGTATGAAAAATAGAAAAAATTGAACAATTTTCACAATAGCATGGCCTCTCATCTTTATAACTTGCTTCAATCATTTTCTAAACTTTTTGATGAGATTTGAACAAGTCTTTTCTGGGATTTTCTCCAGTCTTCAATGGTTACACATTCTAATTCCTGAAAGTTTTTTGTTGACCAACGAATTATTCAAACTTTCAATTCATAACATACTTATATATGAAGTAAATGAGGAACTACCAACACCAGGGTTTGAGTGTGACACTCTGGACTTTATGGTGTATAAATAGCAGTGTCAGGCTACTGACTGTAGTGATTATTGAGTGGAACTATCCAGTTGAATTAGTATGAATTATTGTACATCAATGATTTGACTTTTGATTTAGGATTAACCAGACATTAAGCCAAGCCACACTACTAACAAGGTATTCACAGAAATGGTTAATTAGTTGACTTTTACTCCTTTGTTCTTGTTAAGTATTTATTTGTGGTTGTAATTATCTTAACATTGAACTCTTGAGTTATATTTAATCATTTACAGTCACTGTACATCACAAAAATCTATTTGAAAGAATTTGAGTAAATGGATGGCAGATTAGAGCTTAGAAGCAACAGAGAGACAGTTTATTATAAGCTACAAGGGACAGGAAGTTGTGGAGAGCTATGTTCGCCTACGTTCTGAGGGGACACAGCACATAAAGAAGGTGACAGAACCACTTCCGATAAAGCTGACATTTTCCCTACTCATTATTTCAGTATTTTCCCTGCCAAGATGTATAATGCTGAAATGATTCGGATATCCATTCTTCCTATTATTTTTTACTCCTGTGACATATGTTGCTGTAGTGAATTTCTTTTTATCTACAACCTCGCAGAAATGCACATGCAATTAACAATTTACTTACAGTTTTCCCACTAACATGCACTTCCTTAATCATGTGAAATTAATGAGAAACTAAAAAAAAACCCGAATTTGTAAATAAGTTTTTCACTTTCCTATGGCAGTGTTCCATTTGCTGAATGATATTTTCTCTCCCTCTTGTTTTGGGCATATCTCCGACATAAGAAACTTTAGAACTATTGTATCACCATTATATATTTCACAATTTTTGTTTTTCTTCATGCAACATGACCCAAGGATAAACCCTGTAAAGCTCATCTGGTTCTGGGGAGCATCATGCGTTCAATCCTTTAGTCAGCCAGTGCAGGTATCTTAGTAAAGAAGCAAAAGATATATCATAAGAAAGAATTGTTTAAACCAGTGAATACTGATGACAGATTGTGGATAGCCAAAAAAATGTCAATAATCTTTCCACTTATAAAAGGACAGCATCAGATCTGAAGATTGCATTCAAGCATAAAACAGACTGTCACTGCTTAGTATTGACCTCAGTGTCCCCTTTCATATTTGCATATGCTCTATCCCTGATATTGAGCACTCTAAGACATAAATATAGCATACCTTTCAAACTATATTTTTATCATAAAATATTATATTTCAAAAATATATGTTAATTTTCCCTCTTTCTAATATTTTTGTTTTTATATAAATTCTTTTTAATATAATATTTTTTTTAATTGTAATTTTTTTTAATATTAATTTTCCCTCCCCCTCTCTTACATTCCAACTACTCTTGCTTTTCTCCTCCCCTTCAACCATAATTCCCATTGAGAATGTTAAAAGATATAAACAAAGCATTTTGGAATCACTATTAACCTCTACTGCCTGAAGAGACCTTACTGGACGAAACCATGGTAGCATGAGTGATTAGTATTCCTTGACTTTGATATATATATATATATATATATATGGGGTAGCAATCCCTCTTTCATACAAGTTTCATTAAAGATGACTGACAAGATACTGCGATTAAGCTTTTTATCTAATTTTACCCGTGTTTGTATAAGTGTTTCTTTTTCTGGACATAAAATGGGAAATATTGTCCAAATGGGCTGCATATCTGAATGCTTTCAGCTATCCTCTTAGACATTATCAAGGATGATTTTTATTTTTAACTGGACATATGGATTTTTTATGTATGTATCTAGAGTTAGAGAAATGTTTTATTTTCCAAACACAGTCAGCACATTGTGGCCATGTTCATAGTTGATGTTATTCAGTATTGGCTTTTTCTTTTTTATTATTTGTGCTTCCATTATTTTAGCCTTTCTTACATGTGGTTGAGGCTATTATACTTGTATTTTCTACAAGTATGTTGCAGATAGTTTGGTAGGTTTCCATGTGTGCTTAAATAAGTTTTAATTCAGCTATGGTCAGAGAGATGTAAAGTGAGTCTTCTTGATAGACATGTAGTGGTATGTCCAATATAATTATTCATGAATTTAGTTTGATCAATAATGTAGTTACTTGAGGGGCATGTGAATTCATAAATAATATTGGTTCTATGTAAAGTGTATTGCTATTGTTGATGATAAGTTGTTTTAAATTTTTTTTTTATACTAGATGATTCATTCATTTTTCTTGTTCTGGTCAACTGCTTATAGTTAACATGTATCTGACTTTTATTGAAATTGTTAACGTTATTGTTTTTATCTATATTGCTATTAGTTAATTTAGAAAGAAATATTCTAATTTGGTGATTGATGAGGTTGTTCAGAAAACCATTGCTAACTAGCGTGTGTTTCACATTATTGAGTTCTTTAAGTAAAATTGGATGAGAAAATGAATTCTCATGTGCTCTCTTGAGAAAAGTTTGTTATAACACCTATTTTACATCTAAGAGGACATTCACCCATAGAATTATGATGGCAAGAGTTTCTGCTAATGGGTTATTTGTATAAGAGCTTAGTGAATGTGTTGTTACTGAATTTTATGAGAACATCTAAGAATGGAAATTTTTTTGACTAAGTTCATAGGTAAACTTAAAGACATAGTTTTCTTTCAGGGGGTTTTGAGATTACCAAAATTATTCAATATCATCAACATAGAGGACATATATTTGGGGTTTAGTAATTTTTTAAATATCTTATTTTCTATGTGGGACATGTAATAGAGAAACTTAAACTGAGTGGATTATGTAAAATGTGTGTTTGCATACTATTTACATTATTTGGAATATTGTCCTCATCTTTGTCGCCATATTTATTCCAATGTTTTGGCCGTTATATGCTCTGGCCTTCTTCAGGTAGTTGGAACTGAACTGAACCCTTTA